TGTGCCCTGACCAGGGATTGAACCCGAAACCTAGATAGATATGTGCCCTGACTGGGAATCAAACCTGCAACCTTTTGGTGTACAGGACAATGCTCCAACCAATTGAGCCACCCAGCCAGGGTGAACTGGAAGGTAATTTTTATTTGAATGTGTAGCTTTATGGGTATAGAGACTTAAGTATTTCCAGTCTGACAAGAAAGTAACAAAAGGCCGAAACCGGTTTGGCTCAGTGGATAGAGCGTCGGCCTGCGGACTGAAAGGTCCCAGGTTCGATTCCGGTCAAGGGCATGTACCTGGGTTGCGGGCACATCCCTGGTGGGAGGTGTGCAGGAGGCAGCTGATCGATGTTTCTCTCTCATCGATGTTTCTGACTCTCTATCTCTCTCCCTTCCTCTCTGTAAAAAATCAATAAAATATATTTTAAAAAAAAAAAAGAAAGTAACAAAAGAATATACTCTAACTTTGCTTTATAGTGTAAGATTGGATGATGCTAGAAGCTTATATAAGGAAGTTTCATTAATTTGTACTGAGAGTTTAATAAAATATACAACATCCCACAAGTGTATGTATAAACTTAAAAACTAGTTTAGGGGTAGTTTTATAAATCGTAAATTTCAAAATTTGTAATAGAAGAAGCATTGCATTAATATGTCATGAAAAATTATTTCGTAGATTTTCAGAACAGATTAACAAGTCACACATGACCACATTTTTAACATATTATTTTGCTTGTTTAGAAATCTTAAAAAAGCGCAAGACTCTGTCTTTCGCACAGAAAAAGAAATAAAAGATACTGCGAAAGAAATAGGTGACTTAACGGCAGAGCTGAAAAGTCTTGAGGACAAAGCAACAGAGGTCATAAAGAATACAAATGCTGCAGAGGTAAGACTCAAGGGAGTTTAAGCAGTTGGATATATGACATCAGTACCTTGCATAATAATTGCTCAATCGATTAAAACTTATAACCATATTAACTTGTATTTATACAATAAAATATAAGTACTGTATTGTAACTTTTGAGTAAATAGTTTTAATTTAAAATGGAAGGGGCCTGGGGCGATTTCGGCTTTGCAATATGAAAATACCTGTTCTTTATTGGGGAAAGTCATATATGTAGCAGTTCTTCTTGGGTTTTTAGGAGTCCTTACCAGAGGTCCAGAAAGAACATCGTAATCTACTACAGGAACTAAAAGTAATTCAAGAAAATGAACATGCTCTTCAAAAAGATGCACTTAGTATTAAATTGAAACTTGAACAAATAGATGGTCACATTGCAGAACATAATTCTAAAATAAGATACTGGCAAAAAGAGGTGAGATTGTTAACATTTATTTAAAAATAATTTTAAAATACCCTTTATGAAAAAGGGTTGGGTGTGTGTGTGTGTGTGTATGTTTGGGGTATTTTATGATTCTTAATTCATGATATAATCACATCCCAGACTTATAAGTTACATTAGGAACAATATATAATAATATTAAATACAGAAAAATCTGAGTAATTTTTAGTAGTCAACATTTTCACCCACGGGCTGATTTGGAAATTTAACAGAATTTGGAACGCTACAACTATTTTTCTTGAAGTCCTTTGAAAAGTAGATACACAAATTAGTCACAAACCCTTGGTATATGTTGTTTTAGTAGATAGATAAGTTGTCATATTGTTTTGACTCTTTTTAAACAATGAATGGTAGTACTGTGCCCTCCCTAACTCTTCATTTCATTGAACTTTTAGATTTCAAAAATATCACTGCATCCCATAGAAGATAATCCTGTTGAAGAGATTTTAGTTCTGAGCCCAGAGGATCTTGAAGCTATCAAGAATCCAGATTCTATAACAAATCAAATTGCACTTTTGGAAGCCCAGTGTCATGAAATGAAACCAAATCTTGGTGCCATTGCAGAGTATAAAAAGAAGGTATGAATAAACTATTACTGAATCATAACCAAAAATGCTTTTTTCATCCTCAGCCTAAATTGTGATCTTTGATTTTATATAATTAACAGTGTTCTCATCTCAAATTTAAAACTGAATATTTATTCTCACGAAAATACTCTTTTCATAGGAAGAATTATATTTACAACGGGTAGCAGAATTGGACAAAATTACTCATGAAAGAGATAACTTTAGACAGGCATATGAAGATCTTCGGAAACAAAGGCTTAATGAATTCATGGCAGGTTTTTATATAATAACAAATAAATTAAAGGAAAATTACCAAATGCTTACTTTGGGAGGCGATGCTGAACTGGAGCTTGTAGACAGCTTGGATCCTTTCTCTGAAGGAATCATGTTCAGGTTTGTAACTAAATGCTGAGTTTTGGATCTTCCTATTATATCACACTAGAGGCCCATGCACGAAATTCGTGCAAGGGACTCAGCCCTTGCAGCCCCGTCTTCGTCTGAAGGTCATTCAGATGTCTGATCTAATCAGCATATTACGCTTTTTTTATTATAGATAGCTCTCCAGATTCTTAGTTTTTTTTTTTTTAGGGGTGGGATATGAAGATTAGAAAATACACAACTTGTTCTGTTAAGTCTAAATACTAAATTATTTACATATTGGCAGTTTTAGAGCATAACTTCTGTGCAAACAGCAAATATTTAATTTTATTCATCTTTTTCTTAAATCTTAGTCATTTAAGTTTAACATCAGGAATGTAAAATTGCAGAGTAAAAATTACATTGGAAATGGGGGAAGAATCGTAAAGAAGTACTTATTAGCCTGCTGTTTTAAATCTTAAAATTTTGGTAGATGTCCCTATGGGTTCATCCTCCAACAGTTTTATAAAATTACCCCAAAAAGTTTAGAATTGTGAAAAGCAAGTTAGAAATTCCTGAGGAAGGTAGTTATGGACTAACAAGATTTTCTTTATTTCAGTGTTCGACCACCTAAGAAAAGTTGGAAGAAGATTTTCAACCTTTCAGGAGGAGAGAAAACACTTAGTTCATTGGCTTTGGTATTTGCTCTTCATCACTACAAACCCACTCCCCTGTACTTCATGGATGAGATTGATGCAGCCCTTGACTTTAAAAATGTGTCCATTGTTGCATTTTATATATATGTAAGTAATCATTGAGGTTTTTACCCTAAAAATTCTACGGGTTCATCAGATATTGCACATGGAATCGTTGACTTAACGTATTACTTGTTTTTTTCCAAACTGTTCTCTGTGTCCTGGGGTGTCAAAGGAGGCAAAGTCCTTTACTTGAGCCAAATATTTCCATTTTGGGAAAGTGAAATATAAATTAATAATGTAAATTAGTAGCAGAAACACAGCTAGAATCTTCTGTCTCTGCCTAGATTTTTTTTTTTTTTTTAAATTTCAGAGAGAGAGAGGAACATCAATGATGAAGAGAATCATTGATTTGCTACCTCCTGCATGCTCCCACTAGGGATCCAGCCCACAAACCAGGCATGTGCCCTGACTGGGAAACAAACCATGACCTCTTGGTTCATAGGTCTACGCTCAACCATTGAGCCACACTGGCCAGGCTACATCTTTTTTTTTTTTATCCACTAAGACTTCTAAGCAACCATCCTTCCAGAAATCCTCAAATTCCTCTCAAATCCAAATACTGTTTCATAAATTATCTATCCTATCATTCCTGTTCATTTTAATTGTCAATATTATGTTAAATTTATTGCCTAAAATAGAAGCTTAGATGTTTATGATGTACCTTTTAATACTTAATATTTCTAACTTATTCTTTCTTTCTCTTTAGGAACAAACAAAAAATGCCCAGTTCATAATCATTTCTCTTCGAAATAATATGTTTGAGATTTCAGATAGACTTATTGGAATTTATAAGACATACAATATAACAAAAAGTGTTGCAGTAAACCCAAAAGAAATTGCATCTAAAGGACTTTGTTAAACTTGTTTATACTGAAGATTCGTCAAAGTAAATCAACATAGACTTGGTGTATTATATTACTGATTTTTCTATTTGTGAAGGATTATAAACTGTATAATATTCATATTCCTAAACTTGATCATGTAAACTGGCTTCTATTTTAAGCTGTTACAAGTCTAATAAAATATCCTGCCTGCTTCTAGGAGATTGTAAGAATCTGATAATTTTGTAAGCAGCAGACTGGAGAAAACAAGATGCCTGGAGTTCAGGTTACTGCCCTTTCCCCCCTATTGCTACCAGCAGAGTTAAAAGAATGTTAGTTAACATTCAAGTTCTAAACTAGCTCATGTTATCAAGATGCAACATACTCTCATGGACCTTTGACCTACAGTGGAAAAATTTGCCAACTATTAGTTTATAAATTCCAAAGGCATTCCATTTAATTTACTAATTTAGACAATCACTATTTATTACCCAAATACTGGGAGCATATTTTTTTTATGAGTCATTTTTATTTATAAGGGTGAGAATTTAGTTTATATGCTTTTCTAAAACTTGGTGTTTAAAACACTTGCAAGAGGGCCAGCAAACTGAGAAAGTCTGAACACGACCAGGATATTGCATACAGTGACAAAAAGAAGAAATACCCACTACGGTTGCTTCATAAAAAGAATGAAATATATATGGGTTAATGTCTTCAGTGTAAATGGAAATTAAGATGGAGGATTGTTTTTGCCTGCCCATTGCCAGGGTTTGGAGCAATTTTTGTTTGACACTGTATTAGCTCAAGAAATATACTACTGGAAATAAGTTGGCAACCATTTGGTTTTCAGAAGGAATATTGGTATTGAATCAGAAGTCTTTGTTCTTACTGTTCAATTTCTAGATATTGATCCTGAGGACTTAAGAGTTAATTAGCTCATTATTCAGTAAAGCATTATTTAGGTACTAAAAATCCAACAAAGGTCTGTATCATAACATAGCCATTCAAAGTGTAAATAACTGCATTTAAATAAAGATCTGAAACTCAAGTGTGGTCATTTTTTTAATTTTATTTTTTTATTTCAGAGAATATGGAGAGGGATAGATGGGAACATCAATGATGAGAGAATCATTGATCGGCTGCTGCCTGGACGCCCCACATGGGGTTCAAGCCCGCAACCCTGGCATGTGGCCTGGTTCATAGGTCAACACTCAACCACTGAGTGACACAGGCTGGCCTGTTTAATTTTAACTGCACTGGGGAAAGAAAGGCATTGCCTCATTTGGATGTGTCTGGAGTCTTGTAAGCTTGATATCCAGTTCTCCTACAAATGGATCTTGAGAGCTTTGTTTGGAGGCTCTAGCAGGCGAGCAATTACTTGTATACCCCTTGACAGAAAAACTGGTTAAACCCGGACAGCTTCGGGAGAGACACTTGGAGTGGTGAGGGAGGAAGGAGACACCCATGCCTAGCTAGCCAGATCAGCCGAATCAACCCTACTGATCAATGGGGTGACATGTCACAGCCTGGTCATTTGTTTTCAATCATTATGGAAGGGAAAAGTAACTCAGAAAGGCTATAATGATAATCAAGTGCTTTTACATTAGTGAGAGTAGAGGTGAGTGGAATTAAATATTTTATTACACTTTAATAACTAAAAGTGCATGATACCCACCCACAACCCATATGAAAACTCCAAAGTTATCACTCCTGAGTTTGAGTGCCTTATTAAGACAGTATAAGTAAAATATAAAGAGTTTATTAAAATACATACTTTTGTTATATGTGAAACTTAGAAATATTTTAATATACACTTTAAATTTTACACAATCTCATCTTCCCAGTAAAAGTACAAAAGAGAACAGCATGTTTAAGAATCAGGCATAACTTGGAGATACTGTGGGTTTGGTTCCAGACCACCCACCACAATACAATAAAGTGAATCAAACAAATTTTTTTGGTTTCCTAGTGCATATAAAGGTTATGCTTATGCTACACATAATTGCAGTCTATTCAGTATGCAACACCATTATATCTTTTAAAAATACCTTAATTTAAAAATGCTATATTGCTAAAAAATGTTAACCATCTGAGTTTTCAGCAAGTTGTAATTTTTTTGGTGCAGATAAACTTGACACAGGGTTGCAACTAAACCTTCAGTCGCAAAATAACCAATGTTCTGCAAAAGTGCCATAAAACGAGGTATGCCTGTACTGACTATATTCATGTGTACTATATGTTTTGTCCACTAAAAACTGGCAAGAGTCCCCCATATATTACATGGCCTTGAACAAATTTTTTGTGGTTTTTCATGTAAGCGGGGGTGGGGGGTCATACCTACTTCACAAATGTGAAATTAAGTATTTGACACATTTCAGTGCTTATTAATATTTACATGTATTTAAAGCTACATGTTTTTGTGTCGTGACTAATGCTTTAATCAAAATCTCAAATGTTCTTTGCCCACACAGTAGTTAATTGTGTGAGGTATATTATGATGCTGGTCATAAACAGACCTAGCCAGCCATCTTAGTGTTGGCTCTCTTTTAAGTAAAATTCAAGAAAATAAGATTAAATTGGTACTTAGGCATTAGCATAAGAGAATGTTTGGCAAAAAAAAGTATAAGTTTTTTTGTTTTTTTTTTTTTAAATATATTTTATTTATTTTTTACAGAGAGGAAGGGAGACGGACAGAGAGTTAGAAACATCGATGAGAGAGAAACACCGATCAGCTGCCTCCTGCACACTCCCCACTGGGGATGTGCCCGCAACCAAGGCACATGCCCCCAACCAGAATCGAACCTGGGACCCTTGAGTCCGCAGGCCGACGCTCTATCCACTGAGCCAAACCGGTCAGGGCAAAAAAGTATATAAGTTTTTAAGACAAATACAGTTAACATGTTGACATCTAAGTCTAATGAGAACGGAATACATAACGTTTCAAAATTTTTATCCAAGAACTTAGTTGGCAACTGAACACTACACTAAAGTTAAATATAATCCTAAAGTAACACAAACCACAAAATAGAAAATGTTGCTGTTTGTTCTCTAACAACACTTAAGATTTCCAAAAGCAATAGCTTTATTAGAAGTAAATGTTGATAAACAATTTTAAGGCTCTTAAATCCATCTAAAACAATGTGTGGATCTGGTTTATTTGATCAAAAACATCTTTAAGCAGCCCCTTATCATTTTAGACTTTGCTGCTTGATTTTAAAACCTCACCATCTTTATTTGCCCATGCAAAAGAATCAAGCCACATCAAAAATAAGTGCATAGGTACTTACAGATTTTACCATCTTTTTTTCTAAAAGCTATGTATGAAGAACTGCAAAGTCAATCACTACAGCCATATTAATGCTAAAAGACAATATTGGTAAAACAATGTTTAAATGCCACAACAATATTAAGTCAACCTCTCAAATCCATTAAAAAGGATAGTACTCAAATCAACTAGATTTTATTCTAGTTTTCAGACCAAAAACCAGAGACACTGCTTCATTTCTGATACATTTCTATCCAACAGAAACATGATTTAAAATATTTCTACATATTTGTTGCAATTCTAATAAAGTTTAGTTTGCTATTTTACTTATCCATGCAACCCATATTTCTCCATTTAGCAATGGTTGTTAGTCCCTGTTTAGAAAAAGCCTATTTGAATTTAGATTTGCATTTTCAACGAAAGACTATTTTCCACATGAATTCCTTCAGTAAATATAAAGTGTGATATAACATATCCTTTAAATTGTGCAGACTGTTAGATAAACTTTGGTAAACAGATATAGAGACTTCAGAAAAACACAATGAAGTATTTTCATTTAAAAAGGTTATTATGTGTTGGTTAAAAAAGAGGATCAACATCAGTATCACTGAAATTATTGTAACTATAACAATGTTTAGAATCTTAAAAAATTCAACTTCCTTTTCATCAGCAGGCCAGGAACATGGCATCCTGGTTGAAGAAATTTTCATTTCAGGAATGAGAAGTTTCTTAATTTGTCCAATTTCTGTTATGCTCCAATCTTCTTTCAATACTTGGCTTACTCGAGGATAAATTTCAATACGCTGGACCTCGGGAAGTGGACTTTGTTTCAAGACCTGCACACGCTGACGGACATCATCAACTTTTTCAAGAAATTTAAGTGGGGACTCCTCTTGTAAAGATGTTGTCAATGTCATTAATTCAAGCTGCTGCTTCCTCATGTCTCTTATTCTTTCAATTTGTGGAGTATATTCTTGATTAATCAGATTGCCAACATCAGAGAGAGCAGTTAGGAAATTTTTTTTTTTCTGTTCTAATATATCACTAAGCTCCTTAAAATACTGGAGAACAACTTCTTTATCACCTTGGACCACTTTCTCCGAATGAGATTTTTCTTCTTCCAGCTTTTCAATAAGACAAGTAAGGTCTGTCCAGTGTGTGTCAGTTAACTGTTCCAGCAGTTTTTGCGGCGTGTCCTTCTCTTTCAGATAGGCACTTTGAAGATCATCTATAGGATGACCATGATGTTGGCCTATGGTAAGGCAATGACCACAAACTAATTTTTTATCTAGTAGACAGTATACATTTAAGGGTTGCCTGTAATGTTCAGGGCAAGTGACAATATCTGGATGATCTTCTTGCTGGTACTTTTCAATAATAGCCCTTAATGCAAAATTAACAGGTAAAGATTCAATACCAGTTGAAGCAATTTCAATAATACTTCTGCAATTAGGGCACTTTAGTGGAATTCGTAATGGTCTCCATATATAAAAGTTACCAGATGCCTGAAGAACATTTTCCAAGCAGTTTCTACAAAATGTATGAGAGCATGGTAGTACACGAGGATCTTCAAAAATACTATAACAAATGGGACATGTTAACTCGTCCTCAAAATTGTACATTTTCTGTCAAGAGAAAAAAGTATTTTAAGTCTACATATAACAAAGATAATTGCACATATATAAAGTCTTAGTTGTTACCCTCCAAATAGTTAATATACTGTACTTGTCATTTAAAAGAGGATAATTAAGGTATTTACTAAGATTTTTTTAATTTAATGCAATATCATCTTTAAGAGCAAAACAAAACAATTCTAATTTCTAATGCTTCAAATTGAAGTTATTTAAGTTTGTTCCTATGTAATGAAGATTTAAATTCGGTCTTCTGCTGAAGTCTGCTTAATGATTATAACTATTCTGTGAAACTTCTTACATTCTAAAATGCTAAAATAAGTTAGGCTTAGCAAAATTATATTCTTTAATTCAAAAGAATTCATGCTCTCAGTTAGCTCAACCACAGTTTCTAAAGCAAGTTACTAAATTTCTCTAGTAACTCTTATTATAAATTTCTTATTTCTTAAACTGGACGACTGGTGTGCTTACATAGTGTAATACTCTAAAGTCATTTTATGTTTTACTTATTTATAATTTTGAGAGCACATTCATTAAAGCTGGAGACAGTGAAACAAGGAAGGCTTAGGATAGAATAAGCAACAGGAGAGAGTCTAGGCGGGGCTGCTTTGACTCTAGAAATGTCAAAGTAATTTTAATTTGAAGATTTAGAAGAGAAAAACATTCTTTAATTGGTCCTTGCAATAAAAATCAGTTTCAAAAATGAAGTGTGGTAAAAAAAAATTACTGACCACTAGAATATGAGTGGTAAAGAACACCATTAGTCATCTCTCCTTAATGCAAGAAGCTGAGCAAAAGTTCAGAGACCCTCTCTGACACAAGTAACTTGACCTCTTAGCAAGCTATTATTGACATTTCCAACAAGCCTATAGTTTTGCACCTTATCACCTTTTAATACTCCTTTGTACCTATCAATGCAAGCCACAATCCCAGGTATAGAGAAAAATCAAGTCACACCACTGTTTCAAGAATTTTGAAAAGCAAAACAAAAAACCCAATGTCATTCAGGTAATTACCAAATCCTCCTCTATAAAAAGATTAATAAAAGTTTGAGAAAACAAATTATACTTTCGCCCTGGCCAGTGTGGCTCAATTGGTTGGGCATCATCTTATGCACCAAAAGATTGTAGGTTCTATTCCCAGGCAGGACACATGCCCAGGTCAGGGCACATGCCTGGGTTGCACACTCGATCCTCCGTAGGATCAATGTTCCTTCTCACATTGGTGTTTCTCTCTCTCTCCTCCTTCCCACTCTCTAAAAATAAAAAATAAAAATATTTCTTCAAACAAGAAATTATACTTTTCATAAACATAAAAACCTCTTTAGACTTTTTAGCTCTATGCTCCTTTCACCATTTTCAAAACCAAATTCTTATTCATGCTTCAAATCTCAACTTAAATCCTTATCTCCTGATTAAGTGCCCTGTTAATCTCAGCTAAACTGCTGCACTTCCCCTTCACAGCATTTAACTGGATTTTATTTTGTTGCATTTTTCTATCCATTACAATGTAAACCTGCAATAAGGACAGAAATTGTGTCCAAAGCACAAAATGTGACACATAGTAAGCATTCACTCACAAGTAAACACTGCTTCTTAAGCAGTGGTTCTCAACCTTCTGGCCCTTTCCAGTTCCTCAAGTTGTGACCCAACCATAAAATTATTTTTGTTGCTACTTCATAACAGTAATGTTGCTACTGTTATGAATCGTAATGTAAATATCTGATATGCAGGATGGTCTTAGGCGACCCCTGTGAAAGGGTCGTTCGACCGCCAAAGGGGTCGCGACCCACAGGTTGAGAACCACTGCTCTTAAGACACGAATGTGAATGTCGGATCTTAGTTTTTTGGTTTCTTTAAAACAGCAAAACCTCTACTCTTAGGAAAAGCTGTAACAGTTGAGTACATCAGAAAATACACTCCATTCAGACTGACCAATACTCAGAACCCTAATAAACCAGGATGTGTCACACAGAGACTAAGCTTCACTGTGAAACATTCCAGGAAACTAACGTAACTGGGCAACACTAGAGATGACACTCTCTGCACATAAATTCAAGTGAATACGTGTTGGGGCAACTTTATGGCTCTACCCTGTATCTACAGAGAGCTCCGAAATCATACAGAACCACCAAAGAAAACAACACGTTTCTCAGAGTATTTCAGTGATGTCATGAAGGGACAAAATAGCACGTAACAAGGAATAAGACTTGAGCAGTGGGAGTATATTCAATTTAGATTTAATATTAGAGCTATTTAATGTTTAAGTACAAAAATTATCCTTGAAACAGAATGCAACCTTTCCCTCCAAAGCCCTATATTTGTCAAAAGCTACAAAACATTTTCTAAGACCCCATTTAGGGAACCCAAAAGCTCAACTTTCTTTCAAATGAGGATATTCACGACAATACTGTAAAGAAAATATCTCCTGAGCTCATATAAAAATGGAAGCAAATATTATGGTCTCAAAGTTACTTCAATAATATGTAAAATTTTAAATAAAATTTCATCAGAAATGTGTGGAAAACTTGAAGATACAGAAATCAAATTCTACTCTTGGACTACCTTCTTCTTGCTGATTTATTAAGAACTAATTTTATGCAACAAATTCATGAGAAGTCAGATACTGAGAAGCAAGCCTAGTGCTTGCTTCTGGAGTGCAGGAATCAGGAGTGGAGAGAGTGAGGGCAGAGAGCTGCGCTTTTTTTTTTTCATTATAAACTTAAAATGCTGCTGTTTTAATTTCAACTATTAACTATAAAACCAGGGACTTTCTGACTCCGGTTGCTGCCTGAGAAACAAAAGATAGATACAGCTGGTTATCACTGAGAAGCTAGTGCTTCCAGGAACTAGTATGAAGTTTTATGTACCAGAAATTTTCCATAACCAGCCTAAACTCTTAATGGGAAGAAAAGGAGCAAAAAACTTTAGCTATGTATATTTATCTAGGATAAATATGTTAGATTTTAGTTATGCTGTATGTATGTAACAACACTGGACCCTATAAGACAATGAATCAATGCCTTCAACACAGGGATGGGCAAAAATATGTTAATAATAATAAATAGCCGAAACCGGTTTGGCTCAGTGGATAGAGCGTCGGCTTGCAGACTGAAAGGTCCCAGGTTCGATTCCGGTCAAGGGCATGTACCTGGGTTGCGGGCACATCCCCAGAAGATGTGCAGGAGGCAGCTGATCGATGTTTCTCTCTATAATTCAATAATTAATGAATAAATAATAATACAAGAATAAATGTGTTTTGTGTACTCACAACTGTAAACCTACCTTTGCTCCATCCTATATTCTCAAGGAAAAAAATGGCTTCCAACCTAAAATTCTATACAAAAACTAGAGGCCCAGTGCACGAAATTTGTGCACTGGTAGGGTCCCTAGCGACTGCCGGCCAGGTACTCCCTCACTTCCCCTGGCCGGCCCCGCCCCCTGGTTGAACTCCCGGACAAGGGGACAATTTGCATACTACACTTTTATTATATAGATAACTTTTCAATGTTGACTAAAATAGTTTTGACATGAGAGTTCTCAAAAATAAACACGTTCCCATCCTCCCTCTCTCTCTCTCTCTGCTCTCCACCATATGAAGACCCAGCAAGAAAATGGCCATCTGTAAACCAGGAAGAGAGCTCTCACCAGAACCCAACTGGTGAGATTTTGATCTTAGACTTTCTAGCCTCCAGAACTGTGAGAAATAAATGCTTAAGGCACCCAGTCTATAACAGCCCAAACTAAGAAAATTATATAATTATATTGGGGGGAGGGAATATGAGAAGGAAATTGCATTTAAGCACTAAATCTTCCCATATAAGAAGTCAATGCATACCTATAAGAGAAAAATCAAGAAATCACATAAAAGGCCTATTATTTAGAAATACTTTAAAAGAAATGAAAGTGCTTGCTTCTGGAGTGCAGGAATCAGGAGTGGAGAGAGTGAGGGCAGAGAGCTGCGCTTTTTTTTTTTCATTATAAACTTAAAATGCTGCTGTTTTAATTTCAACTATTAACATGCAATTAAAAATATAATAAAATTTTAAAGAAAAAAAATAAAGGCAATAAATACTATAAACATCCTGGCAGAAAAGTAAGATACCTAAAAAGGGAACACAGGAACATAATGGTCTCCAAATTCTCCTCGGGGAGACTATAATTTCCAAAGATGGCCACTACAATTATCACCCACATATGCTCTTCTGTAATGTGACTTCGCTGGTACTCCCCCATCAACAGATGAAATCTATTCTCCCGCCCTCCAAACCCCCCCAAATATCTAGACAGGACGTGTCTGACCAGCAGGACACAGTACAAGTGATGCTGCAACAGTTCTGGGTATGACCCTTAACTAGCCTGATAGGTTGCTGAGTAAAAAGTCCAGGCTACTCTGCTGAGAGAGACCCACTGGAGAAGCAATGAGGTGTCAACATGTAAGTGAAAGAGCCATCTTGGACCGCAGCCAGCCAAGTCTTCAGATGTTGGTTACACCTCAGCAAATACCCAGAACATCTCCAAAGCAACAAGGAATGCTAGAAGACAACGCAGCAATGTCCACAGGGTCTGGGAAATAACAGGACCTTAGAATTCTGTACCCAGCCAATATGTAATTTACTGACGTGAAACAACAATAAAAACACTCTCAGCAAAATCTACAGGGTTAAAAACAATTCTAGAGAGCATAGCTGAAGCCATACACCGTCATTACCAAAGTGACATACTTTCATTAATCCAATATAACATGCTCTTTTCCTCCAATGAGTACTAAAAGCCCAAGAAAAATTGATAATTAGTTCAAGATTTCCTGCTTCTGTTTTAAAAGTCACCAAGAAATATGAATATAAAAAATCTTTTCAGGAAGACACCTGAGGCTACATCATCTAGTAACAAATTATTTCACAAATTTCTTGTGTTTAAGTATCAAAAACACATTTTTGAATTTCTAAACTTTTTATGCAGGCTTTCTCCTGGGGACTGATTTCCTATGGAGTCTCCACACTTTCTAACCAGCCTGTTATGGATGGGCCAGCACTGACAACAAATAATGGAGAATGAAGCAGAACCAAAAATATCACTGCCATTCTCCCATGGAAACAACATTTGTAAGTTTTAATTCACTAACATGTTATTGCCTTTCATCTCTAAACATGAGTGGATATGAAACACTCATTCCACTTTACAATCACTAAATATTTACCACATTATAGAGTTAGATGACTTGCTCTATGTCTAGGACGTACAGTGTGAGTCAGCTGTAAGTCTGGAAAAGTGCCACCACCCAGATTGGGGTTCACATCTTTGTGGCCCTGACTGATAAAAAGCACATTTCAGGCAATTAAAGGCTTACTTTAGAAATACTACAATTGTGCCTCTATACACGTAGGTTAAGTTTTTAAAATATTTTTGTACATATAAATTGTACAAAACAGTAAAGGATCACCATAACTCTTTCAAATTAAAAAAAAAAATCCCATCGTCAGATCTAATTTTAACTCTGCACATTTGTACCGTTTTCCTGCATTCTGGCATCAACCTGTTTCCCCAAACTAAAAAAGAAGTGATGCAATTTAACCAGAGAGTAAAATTTTTCTGAAAATTTATTTTGTATTCACTTGCTCTCCCAGAGCTTACCTGCTTTGTTGGTCTTCTAGTTTGGAGACTGAAGATACTGTATCTTGTCCAACTTTTCCAGATTCTTTTCTTGTTATTCTAATGTCAAAATAGTTTTAATGTTTCAGAAGTTACATTCTAAAAATATACATTAAATAGGACACCACAAGAATGATTTCTATCTCGCTGTCTCTGATGTTTACCTTCCTCTTGCCACACTGTGTTTTTTTAAAAAGTAGTGAAAAACATCACCAGTTGCTGCAGCAGCAGGCGCGGTATCATTTGTTCCTTGAAAGTCCCAGTGATCCTGGGCCTCTTTTCTAACGTCAAGTACCTTCTGAGCCCTAAGGAGTGTCAGCCGACCCTGGTGACGGCGGGGCAAACATTCGCGGCCACTTTGGGTCGCTTCGAGGTCAGCAGACAGGAGGCATCCACGGCCCTGGACGGTGTTGCCAGCTTAACGCTGTACTAGCCACTTAGGCGGCTCCATCACTGCGCCTGTTAACCTTTCCGCTCTGCCATCAAAATAGTATTGGGAGACCCGGGGTCACTTTCACTTAATGCACCTCAGAACTGAGGGTTCAGCCCTGACTGGTTTGGCTCAGTGGATAGAGCGTCCGCCTGTGGACTGAAGGGTCCCCGGTTCCGTTCTGGTCAAGGGCATGTACCTTGGTTGCGGGCACATCCCCAGTGGGGGGCGTGCAGGAGGCAGCTGATCGATGTTTCTCGCTCATCGATGTTTCTAACTCTCTATCCCTCTCCCTTCTTCTCTGTAAAAAATCAATAAAAAATTTTAAAAAAAAGAACTGAGGGTTCACATCTGTAAAATGGGCACAAATACACCTCCCCTGGTAAGTCCTCAAAAGAACCTCGGACCAAAGGGCTCAAAACAGAATCCCCCCGCCCCCTCCCCTTCCCCGGAGGCAGACGAGGAGCCTCCGGGCCTCCCTCCCGAAGTGCCTCCGCCGGCTCGGCGCCCTCC